TATTATAATATATGTTAAAGTTTCAACAGAACAGGATGCAATGTAATGCTAATTACATTTTTCCTTAAATGCATTTATTCTTCTAAAAAAATCAATATCAAATGCATGTGGACATAGTCAACCTCATAGTTATCAAAGGTGCAACAAATAACTGTTAAAACAAGACTGTCAGAATTTAATTTTCCTCAGTGGGACTAAATAATTAGAGTAAAATTATTGAGCTAATTATCTGTGTGTATTTTAATGATTGCTATCAGAGAGGTTTGCTTAGTTCACAGTAATAAGTGACTGGTGGTTTTCTGAAGATATCCCCACGGACGTCTCGGGACTTGTTCTCCAGGGTGACTGTCAGTTTCACACTGTGTGGCCTGAGAGATCTAAACGCCTTTGATCAGATTCCTAGAGAATGCAGCAATAAGAACAAAGTCTGAACTCTACAAATGATGCCAGGCCCAACAGGACCTCTGTCCTTTCACCTCACTCAATGCTTTGATCTTGCCCCACCATAATGGAACCATAGTTTGTAATGAAATATTCCTATTTCTTCTATAGTCAAGCACAAATTCAGTTTGGTCATGTAATAAAATCATGGAAACATCAATTTATAGTAAATGAAACTTTCAGAGGGTAAAATTTTTGCATATATAAGTGAACTTGAATACTACACATACTTGTCTTACCAGAATGGACCCTTAAAAACTCATTTAATATGAGGTGTGACTGAAAACTACAGCGAATGTTTAAATTAAAAGCATTTACTAGAGTAAAAGATACATTGCCATTAATGCCCTTCCAAATGATCCCCTTCCCTCAGACACACTTAGCCTGTTTTGCTTGCCCCTTTGTGAAGCAATCCTAGACTTCCTCTCTCATGAGTGTCTTTAGTTGTGCTATTGTGGCTGCCCTAATGCCCTAAATAGATTCAAAACATTTACCTTTTGTGATCCCTTTTACTTGAGAGAACAGCCAAAGGTCGCACAGCACCAGTTCTGGTGAACAAGGTAGATGAGGAGGTGGGGATGGACTCAGACGTTTCAGCAGCCCCCTTCCACAGGATGCGACCTGGAAGCAGCGTTCCTCGAATTCTTTATCACACCTGGTAAAGAACACGTCCAGAACTGCCTCAGAAAGTGGCAAGGACAGTGGGATAAGTGTGCTTGAGGCGAGGGGGAGTATTCTGAGGCAGATAAATGGCAATGTGTCTTAAGGTAACTTTTAAAAAAATATTTAAACATTAAATATATATTTTGATCACAATTTTACATTATTTAATTTATATTTCAGAATTTCTGATACTAATATTTTCTGTTTCCTCAAAAGTATTACATTTTTTCATTTAATTACTTCCTTTAGGAATCCTTATCTAACCCCACAGGGAAGAACTCACCACCTTCTCTTTGTATGATGCTAATATTCACTACACATACCTATCTTGGCTCCTGTAGTCCCTTATTCCACCAAACAGTCCCCATGACTGTCCTTCCTTACAGACTGTAAGCGCTTGAGGACACAGAAGGCATTCTACTCATCTGCGTGCTCGCCACTTAAGGGACAGTCGATGTCTTCGTCACAACTTATACCCACTGCCACACCACATCTGTTTTCCTTCCCAATCCTTGCAGTTTCCTTTAGTTTTACTTAAAGATCCTTTAGTGTTGATTTTTTTAGAAAAGCATCGTGTGATACTTTTCATACCAATTTATGACATTCAATTATCCCATACTATATTTACTTAGTATTTCTCATGAGCCAAGCACTGTGCTAAGCACTTGGTATATGCCCAAGAAGGCAAAGTTTTTCTTCCAGTAAAGAATTTTAAGACAGGTCAGATACAATATAAAAGTTATAATTCAGGGCACTAAGTGTTATAACATAGGCAACAAAGCTATCTGAAAACATATTTAATGACTGGCTTTAGTTTGTTTTAAAAGGATTCAAAAATAAAAGGTGTTCAGGGTTCATTTATTGATCAATTTTGCTAGGTAAAGAATGCAGGGAACATATCTTAGAATGCGTGTAAAGACATGAATTTAAACACATCAAGCACGTCTGGTGAACAAAGACCTGCTCAGTATCTTTGGAACATTCGATATTTGATGTGGCAAGAAGAGGTTGAGAAATTAGTCAAAGGAATGAAACAGACATTAAGAGATGTGCTCTTTATCCTTTGGCAACAGAGACATGATCGTAATCTGTAAATAAAGCTGATACATAATCAGATGTAACTTTAGAAATCTCCCACCAGTTGCAAGATGAGGATGGGTTTGGAGGTAAAGAAAATTGGTAAGAGTAAAACCAATCAAAATACTCTGCATTTAAGAATAATTTTCTAGAAAAAAGATGGGGTTACTTTTCAGACGTTGGAGGCATTGTGAGATGTAAAGATCAATGTAGTTGATATTAGTGAAATACACCTCACCAGATACAGTGCAAAGAGCAGTCACAAGAACAGAGACAGTAAAAGTGACTGTCAGTTTTCTCTATGGAACATGAAAGTGAAGAGCATGTATGCAGAGAACATACAGGCAGATGTATTGAGCAGGAAAATATACCTGGAATTCAAGAGCAAAGGTGAGACTGGAGGATTAGAAATTGTTCCCCTGTAACTGGCAGTTAAAACCATGAATGTAGACAGTGTAACATAAGATTGACATGGAAGGGAAAGGGAATGGGTTGAATGCTGGACATTGGTCATCTTTCAACATTTGAAGGGTGGCCAAGAAAAACAGTGTGAAAATACACAGAAGAATAATCAAAATGATAATAAAAGCTGTGTGAGACGCATGAAAGGAGAGCTCAGTTAAATTTGGCAAATGGGAGGAACCTTCTGTGGAAACTAGAAAAACCACTCAGAGAAGGTTAGAGACCAGAGTACCAAGGCTTGAGGAGCAAGTCTGAAAGATATCAACTTTTTCATAAAAATTGAGCCAAAAAGAAATAGCAATATAAAGGGTATAGCTTCATCAGGTGGTTGGTGAAAGGGTTCTTTTTCAGAGAAGTTTCAAGGGGCTAAAAATAAAACCCCAAATTGATGACAGAAAGAAATGCAGAAGGCTGTAGGATAAAATTCCTGTCTGAATGATGAGAACTAACCTATTCTTGTATTATTTTTCTATTGTAACTGCAACAAATTGCAGAAACTTGGTACTTTACACAACAAAAAATTACTTTCTTATACTTCTGAAAGTCAGAAGCCTGAACTGGGTTTAACAGGGTTAAAAATGCAGGTGCAAGAAGGACTGCATCTTGGTTTGTGGCTGCATCTTCCCTCCTGAAAACCAGAAACACAGCATCTTCAGACAGTCATCTCTCCATGCTCCTCAACCCTTCTGTTTCCATTGACATCTCCTCTGACCCTCCAACTGCCTTTTCTTTCCCATTGCTGGGAATGGATCTCAGGGCCTTTGTGCTGACCTATGTACCCAGACCTCTTTATTTTAATTTTCTCACTGAGTTGCCTGAGGCTTGCAATTTTCATACCTCAGCCCCCTAGACTGCTGAGATAATAGACATGCTCCACCATGCAGGCCAGTTCCCCTCTTATATAACTGGACCCATAAAGATGACTGAGGATAATATCCCCATCTCAAAATCCTTAATTGCATCTTCCATGTGAGAAAAAGCATTTACAAATTCCAGAAATGAAGAGGTTGACATTAGTCAGAGACTATTTTTCTGTTTACTACATTGGGAAAGGGTGGAAAGCATAAACTAAAAAAAAGACAATTCATCCCCGTTCTTTTTTCTGTAGAAGGGAAGGAAGCCAGAGTGTTGTATGTAAGCATAAATGAAAAGTCAGAGGCTTAGTGTCTTACTTTCTCTCTGTTTGTGGAACAAAATATCCAATACCCACAAGCTGAGGGGGAAAGGTTCATTCTGACTCACAGATTGTAGAGGTTTCAGTCCACAGTTGGCTGCTTCTGAGACAGGGCAGCATGGCAGAAGAGAAACAGTGCACAGTATGGTAGGCAGGAACCTCGAGGGATCAGGGGAGGAGAAAACATATATATCCTACTAGGTCATGCCCAGAGTGACCCACCTCTTTCCGCCAGACTTCACCTTACAATATCACAGTTATGAACCCATCAGGAGACTAATTCAGTGATAAGCATCACAAACAAGTGATCCAGTCACCTCCCAGAATTGCTAAAAATCCTAACAGTTTCAGCACTGCTGAGAAGTCCAAGGTCAAAATCTCCTCTGTGATTTAAAACAAACTCTTTTCTGATGGCTCTTGTAAAAGTGAAGAGGAAGTTAAACATTGCCAGCCACAGGGTAAGCGTCCTATTTCAAAAGAGAGAAATAGGGGGATAAAAAGGAATGAGGCCAAAATAAGACCAAATTCCACCCTGGCAAACATTATATCACATAGTTCCATGTCCAGTACCCAGGGAAACTGGTGGCAAGAGGTAAATTCCAAAGGGCTTGGATGGCCCTACCCCTATGGCACTGTGAGTTGTTGTAGCCCTCATGGCCTCTCTCTTGGATCAGGTTTGCTGACTGTTTGCAACTTTTCTCAGATGTCCATCTTCCTGGTTTTTCCAATTTTCTTGGATCTCCATAACACTTTTGGCTTCACACTCAGAGCTTTACACACTGCTCTCTCAGGAACACACTCCCTAGCCTCCCAGGCCTTCTTTTAAAATCTGAGTCGAAGTCCTGCTGGCCACAAGATTCTTGCATTCTGCTTGCCTGTAAGATCAGTACCATGTGGATGATGTCAAGGTCTATCATCAGCTACAACAGTAGTTGAGCCTTTTTCAAACTTGCTGGTTGTTGCAAAGGTCTCTGAGTGCCTGGATGGCTGAACATGGTGAATTGAATCCTAGCAAATCAATTCCCATTCCCTAAGCTGCACCCATTCTGTAGCATGGTGCCCTGAAGCTCTCCTCAAAGCAAAGTCTTTCACCTTTGCAATTTTGAACCTGCAAAGTGTAGAGTCCTGCTGGTTCTTATGGTGCTCTCGAGCCATCTTTTCTATTGTTCTGTTCCAAAGTACCAGGCTGTTTTAATACTATTACTTTCAGCAACCAAGTTCTGTGCTCCATCTCTACAGGGTCCAACTTTGCCAGAGTTTCCCTTGTAACCAAACTCAAAACTTTTAAAATAATTCTGCTACATCATTTGCTCTTGGTTCTCAAGGTAGAGGTGGCTATATGCCCCAGTAGTAGCCTTGCCACTGCCTCAACACTAGAGTGCTTTGAAATTTCTTCCACCATATTAGCCCACTGTTCTTAATCACAATCTCCAGCAATGTCTCAGGACAGAAGCAAAATCCAGACAAATTTTCTGCCAGAGCATAATACACATAGTCTGGAGTCCAGTGGTGTCCTTGTTCTGAACTGAAACCTTATGAACATGAGCCTGGTCTTTAACAGGCTCATTTAGATCACCATTCTGATCTTCTGAGCTCTGACCAGAATCTTATCAAGCTCAGTTTTTGGCACTCTAGTGCTCCTTCTCCAGCCAGCACATTCAGATTGTTCCAAATTCCTCCCACAAACCACTAACAAAGATTTCTGAATCACATGGTTGGATAACATCATAGCAACAACACCACCCTGGTACCAAAGTCTGTCTTAGTTACTTTGCTGTTGCTGGGACAAAATACCAGACACCCACAAATTAAAGGAGGAGAAGTTTATTTGGCTCACAGTGGGTAGAGATTTCAGTCCATAGTCATCTGCTTGCAAGGCAGGATGGAATGGCCAAGGAGAAATACTTCACAGCACGGCAGGAAAAAGCAGTGAGGGATCAAAGGAGGAGGAGGGATACATACACCATTCCAGGCCATGCCTACAGTGACCCATCTCTTCCCAAACTTCACCTCCCAACATCACACCCAGCTAGCTATAATCCCATCAGTACCCTGATACAGCGATAAGTATCACACACACATACACACACACACACACACACACACAATCCCTTCACCCTTCAAAAGCCCCACTTGTGAGCACATGAGGCTTTGATGAAACATCCAGATGTAAACCATAACACTGAGTGTACTTGGTTACCATGTTTTCTTCTTGGCTGCATCATGAGAGGGGAGTTGTCAGTGGCACAAAGAACAGCTAGCATCTATTTCAGAGAACACGACTAGAAATGCGGAAGCAACCACAAAGAGAACTGATGGTGGAGGAGGGATCCAGCGAAGCTAGAAAATATAGGATAGGGTAATTGTGAAGTTGCTGACTGAGCATGAAAATAAATAAAAGAAATAGATGGATTCTAGAAGTGATGCGTGTCTAAAGACCACCTGTAGTTGAAGAAATAGGGAGAATTTCACCAACAGACTGAAAAAAACCCCAAGAATTGAGAAAAAATTTAGTCAATTATCCCTCAGACAAAGGACTTCTATCTAGAATATATGAAGAATTCAAAAAAATGTAGTAACCCAAATTCAAAGAACCAATACAAAAATGGGCCTCTGAGATGAATCCAGACTTCTCAGATAAAGAAATGCAAATGGAAACCTGGGGATATAGGATGTACAGCACCTGCCTGGCGAACCAAAAAAGAAAGTTAAAAGAAAGAAAAACAAATGGCAACTAAATACATGAAAAAATGTTTGGCATCATCAGTCATTAGAGAAATGCAAATTAAAATAACACTGAGATTCCATCTCATCCCAGAAAGAATGGCTATTATCAAGAAATCAACCAATAACAAATGCTGAAAGGACTGTGGAGAAAAAGGAACACTCTCCACTGTTGGTGGGAGTGTAGACTGGTGCAGCCACTGTGGAAATCAGTCTGGAGATTCGTTAGTAAATTAGGATTAGAGATCCCATTCAACCCAGCTTTTGGGTATTTTTCCAGAAAAACAGAAAACATCATACTGTAGTGATATATATGCACCCATGTTTATAGCTGCTCAATTTGTAATAGCTAAATCGTGGAAGCAACCCAAATGCCTATCCACTGAGGAATGGATAAAAAACACGTGGTATTTTTATATAATGCAATATTACTCATCTCTAAAGAAAGATAAACTCGAGGCTTTTACAGGTGAATGGATGCAACTAGAGACTATATGCCTAAGTGAAATAAGTCAGACCTTCATGTGTAAACATCATATTGTTTCCCTAGTGTAAGAACCTGAAAGAGTAAATAAAATCTGAAAGGTAACAAAGATATTGTGAAAGGGAAAGAAACCGCTCAAAAGGAAAGAACAACTGGGATGAAGGAAAAGAGAAAAGAAAGAAAGAAGGAAGGGATATATACATGTGTATATATACACAAGATAGCTAAGATAATTGTACTACTAGTTTCTATTGGTTTATTGAAAGGAACAGTTAATGTTTGATCAATCTTACATGCCTATATCTGGTTATCTGAGTAACCAATCTGAAGATAACAATATGTAATACAACAACCATTGTTAATTGTGTATCATTTTTATTACTTTTCTGTTGTTTTCTTTATGTCTTTTGTTTTTGTAAATTTGTTTTTGTTCTTTGCCCTTTAAAATAAAAAAATAAGGGAGAATTTTGAGCAAGTATCCTGGTATATTTTTATATCCTTGAAACCAATGATTCTAGCATTAGAATTGATTGAGTCCACCATTTCCTGAGTTTAATTTTTTGTAAAAATTATGTTAGGGAACATACAAGATGAGAGAGAATGAGACAGAGAGAGGGGAGAGTGAAGGACAGAGAGACCTTCCAAGGTATACAAAACTCTTGGCTATGGCATGTATTCAAGTTACAGAATCATATCAGTAATGAAAGTAATTTGGTGGAGTTTGAAACTTGTAAAAGTAAAATTAAGATAATTAATCCATCCTCATTCTTTTAGCACATAATATTGGTTTACAATTTTTTGAAATTTGTTTTAGACAGGCAGCTTAATTTTACTGAAAGTTTATTTAGCAATCTTTAAAGCTAGTCATCAAATAAGATTTTTCCACTCATAGATATAAAAATGTATCATTTACTATATAATTATTTGGTAATTACTTTGTCAGCAGTTATCCTTTATGAGGAATGTAACTCTATCTCCAATGTAATCTGTTCCGCTTAATTTCACTCTCAATTTCATTATTCTTCTTTTATCAGTTATAATTCATTAAAGTATCAACCAATTTCATTAGTAGGTCAAAGCCTGTCAGTCAACATTTGAGAAGGCTGCAATGATTGCATTATTAAACATTATATTTTAAACTTTCCCTAAATAGAATCATGCTTCCCAGTCTTTCATTAAATATATAATACTCCTGTAATCATTTGGGCTTACTTTCCTTTTAACATATTGCATTATGCTTTTGTTTATTTAAATAGTCTCATAGTTGACTATGTTTCTTTATTTAGCTTTGTTTGCACAGAAAACCAAATGAGTAAATTCTAGTGAGCTTTGAATATTTTAAAGTACTTAGTCAATAAAGTGTCAGCACTACATAATGAATTTTCCAAAAATGTGGAAAATCTTAAGAAAATGAGTAGATGTTTCAGAGAAAAGCTACACTATACTCAAGGCCCCTGATTAAAATAATTACTTTGATGGCAATTGGCAATGGGGTGAGGCGAGAGACAGGGTCTCCAGAAAAGGAGATTACTATACCCAGGATGAGAAGCATGGCAGTCCTAAAACAAAATACCACTTCTGAACATCGAAGATTATTAGAAATAAAAGTGAAATCAGTATAATGGATATAAGAGAAGCTTCCCTATCGCATGGGTTGTTCTGGAAGCAATTTTAAATTGTGGAGGCCAAAAGAGTTTGGATAAATCAGAATTCTTTATGTGCCCCAAATCTCTGTTATTTATTAGATAAGAGCACATTTTTTCTATGTGCTCCATTTCGCTCAGAAAAGTTTGTGAGAAGGATGTTCATACCTGCCTCCACCACCACCTCTACAGTGAGCACTTGAACCTGTTTTTACAGTTTGGGACTTCTAAAGTAGATTTTTTTATTAGTTACTCCTAGAATAAACAAGAAAATTCCTACTATATAGTAAATGACTTCAGTTTTTAGAATAAAATGATATGATAATGCACATAAATTTTAGTACATGAGAAAAACATTTCTTTTCTGTAATTCTATCCAAATGAATTGGTAATAAAGTAAATAAAATTTAAAATATAATACAGTGTTCCCCTAAAATTCAAGTTACATTTCTAGAGGACTCAATAATTGTGAAAAACCATGAATTTTAGATATGGTCAGAAAAATGCCTAAATCATCAACATGCTATTCTCCTGCAATTATGTAATTTAGTATAATGAAATCCTGTGTTAATAAAGCCTTGAAAGGTACAGGGCATTTTGGCAGCATCTTAGGGATCTAAGAAGAACAAAACTGAGCACACTCAAGATAGCTGCATCAACCTGTTATGATGCTGGAATGCTGCTGCATCTGGGTGGGTTACAGGGCCTTTGGGGTCCGATGTATACCACTCAACCAGGGAGCCAGGAATCTTCCTCCAGACCTCTGTGAGGAGACCGGAGAAACCTCAGGGGTACACCTTCCCATCAGGACCTGGAGAGGTCCTCATTCCATCCACATCAGACCCAAAGGGAAGAGGAGAAAATCTGTCTGTCTGTATGTCTCTCTGCCTGATTCCAGTAAGACCCCCACAGGTATCCCAGCCTTTCAGTCCTTCTCAGTTGAACAGAAGAGGAGTTTGTTTAACTCTTATTAGATAATGCCACCCTCAAGGAAAGGGGGGCTGGAATGTTCAGGCTCTGAGTGCCTCCTGAATGAGTGAGCCCAACAGCATAAGCAACAGGCTGCTGTGTCTGTGCACCAAGACTGGAAAGCACTGGTTGCGGTGACTGACTGAGTCCTCACCTGTGGTCCATGGTGATGGACTTATGGCATAATGGAGGGCTCGCACCCTTCTTAGCTGAGTCGCACCTACGTCCTTGCGTGGGGCATGGCTAAGTGGGCATCTGAATGGTCTCTTTCTGAGGAGCATCCACCCTTTTTCTGTTGTGCCATCATTCAAGGGTACACAACATACACCACAGGGAGACAGAATAGGAACAAATTAGGTAAAACCCACAGTTCCCAACTGCAGGAAAAAAAGCTTTTATGGAGTTAAAAGTGAAACCAAACCACTTCCTGCATCTCAAAGAACAAAAAAGAAAAAAGAGGCAAGTTCTTCCTGAGGATTCTGCCTTTGTGCCCTCATCAGCTTCTGTAATTGCTGTCAACACCAATAGCTTCACTCCCTACTCCAGACTCATCTGCTTCCAGCCAACTGAACTGGTTCCAGCTGGCCACTGCCTGCATTTAGCCACAGAGGGCCGCCCTCCAGAGCCTTCTGCTCACACACCTGTCCTGGTGAGACGGTGTCATCTAACACATGCCTGAGATGACGGTCAACATTTCCTTCTCAGTTCCACATTTTGACTGAGGAAAAAATGGACTGTCAGCCCTGACAAATAAGTTGTGCCCTGTCAGGCCTGAATAAGAGTCCACAGTCATTGCAAACATTGAGGGCAAAGCTGTAACTTTCCTGGTAGACAATGGAACAGAATTCTCTGCCTTCAAAAGTTCCCTCTGTCAAAAAGTTACCATCACCAGGGCAACTGGGACTGTTGCCTCTCACGCCCTTCTACCAGGCACAAACTTACAGCAGGGAGGACATCTCCCTCACATCAAGCCAGTCAGCCTCACTTTTGTTTAACCCTGCACTTTCCACTTTGAGTGTTCCCTGAAAGATTATGACTGCATATCCCTGAGACAGATAACTGCAGTCCTAAAGTTCTGAAAATTCTCCTCACAGAGGTGTAAACTAGAGACTTGTCTCTGGGTCTGGCCATCAACCATGCTGCCTCACCATGATCCCCCTTTGCTATCAGATGGCATGGGAAACACAAACAGGCATCCAGCCATACATCAGCCTGCAGACTGTTAATCACCTTGGGCAAGATCTCATCAACAACACAGCTATCACCTTGCACTCTGCGGTTTCCAACCCATACATTCTTTTTGGACTGTAGTAGATTTAAAAGATGCCTTCCTCTGCTTGCAAGTTGTTCCTATAAGCTCCCTCAATTGGGAAAATTCTGAGACAAAAGACCAGTTAAGTTGGACTCAATTGCCAAAAGGGGTTAAAAACTATCCTACTGAGCATAGACTGTCAAACTGCTAAAATACAGTTCTCCTGCCTGTAAAGCCAGTCAAGATCTATAAGCTGCCAGTGCCACTGTAATTGCCCTCCATGTATGTTGCCTCAGTCTTCTTCCACCCTCAGCCTGCTGATACACATGTCTGGACCTAAGAATGCACTCTTCTGCCTTCAATTGGCTCTGGTCACCCAGCCCTCTCTTTGCAACTGACCTAGACTCAACCTTTCAGAGGTTCAAAAACTTTGTTTACCTTCTTTGGAGAAGGCCGCACAGCTGACCACTAGTTTCCCAGAATGACACCCAGGCTTCCTGCTGGAAAGACGCAAAAGCCCTCCTACAGTATCTGGTAGAGTCTGGTTACAAAAACACTCCACAATTTTCTTAGAGCTGCTGGCTTCTATAAAATCTGGATCCTTGAGTTCACAAAAATAATAATGTTTACTCAGACTGTCATCCCCTGGGAGAACCTAGTAGTCTACCTGTGCAAATACTTGGCCACTGTCCTTCTGATCAAGAAAGCTGACAAGCTCACCTTAGGCTGAGACCTAACTGTCCAGGTGCCACATGCTATGCTGGACCTCACCTGGTACCAAGGACTTTATGCAAAAACCCCCATCTGACTGTCATGGTGATAAAACCACTCAGTCCTGCCACATACCTGCCCACAGAGCTGGGCCCCACAGACCGTGACTGCATGGCACTGTTCTTGAGCTGATCAGACTTAAAAAAATAAACCCCCTGACAGGTGCTGACTACACCTTGTTTAGAGATGAAAATAGCTCTGCTAGGAATGGAGTATGACAGGTTAGATACATAGTGGTCACCTTGGAAAAAGCTATTTTAGCCAAAGCTCTCCTGCTTCTGCTTCCTGCTGTTATTTGAAAACCTGCCACCAATGCAAAATAATTCTTGATCCAGAGGCCTAAGCCCTCTGGGGATCTGATTAGCTGAAACATCAACCCCAGCCAGAAAAACTTTACCCAGTATTCTTGGTAAATCAGAGACAGACTTACCCCAACTGTTTGTTTTGCAAGCTGAAGCCATAGCACTGGCAAATGCACCCCTGCAACCAGCTCAAGCTTCAGCATCTGCATCCCTGGCCTTGACTTCATTCATTATAGGGGACTTTCCCCATTTAAAGATACACAGACAGATCACACAGAAATAAAACATGAAATTATATACAGCTTGTAACCAGTTAAAAGGCCAGCCATATCTGTAGACATTCCTGCAGACACATATAACCCAGGTGCATATTAACTACCTCTACACGTTTCAGAAATCCACAAAAGATTCATCTGGACAGCTCTTCCAGAATTCTCTAAAGGGACAACATGCTCCAAGCCTTGCCCCTGTCAGCATTGAGAGTGACAGGATGCTGATGAATCAATGTACAGCTGAAGCTTGAGGACAGCATTCAAAGGATTCCAAGTGAGATTGCCTGCCCCACTTCTCCCCCATGTGTACTTGATGTTGTGTTATCCAGCTTGGTTCTTGCTTCCCACCTTCTTACCAACTGTAACCTTTGCCTTGGCCTTGTGGACAGTTGCCCCAGAGGGATGAAAAACAACCAGTAAAGTTCTTTTCCTTACTCTTTATATGGTTTTGGTAGTTGAACTTGTTATTTTCAACTGTCTTCCTCATCTGAAAAGCCTAAGGCATCAGTCATAACTAGAAAATGTTTGTTACCAATGTGCTGACCTTTAATGTTGGGGTCTGGATTCCGGCTCTGTTTAATTTAATTATGGGAAGTCAAATTACCACAACCCAAGCTCCTGTTGAGTTTAGCCTGGTTAAAACTGACACCTGGGAGGTAATTCAGTCCAAAGTCTGGAATGACGAGGGCTCAGTAATTCTCAGATTTGATATTTGCCAAATTGTTACCATTCCAGACACACAGATGCCCTCGTGAAATTCCCCACAGGGCATCTGCTCCGGTGGCCTTTGATTTCTGTCTGTGCTCTGGACACAAAAATGGACACACGGGCTGCAGATCCAGAATGGAATGTAACTGCCCCTCCTGGGAATGTGTGTCCATAGCCTTCTATTCGGGGGGCCCAAGGATGATAAAAACAGAGCACTGTAAGGTGACCCCTCAATTAGCCAAATAAGAACAACAAAGAGGAGTTTATAATGCCCTAGGAGAAAACTTCTGTTTCTATGCTGTTAAGTCTGGAATAGTCCAAGAAATTCTGCAGCAATTACAAGAGAGGTTAAATAACTGAGCTCAAAAATTAAACCAGAAACTGGTGATTCCAAGGTCTATCTGACTTGGAACCATGGCTGAAGTCCCTCTTGGGGCTCCTGACCGCCCTTATATTAATTCTCCTGATGGGGCCCTGTCTGGTTAAATGGATTACGTAAGTCAAGACCTGCCCCTTCTTATACAGCTTTAGATAAAAAAAAAACAAACAGACCCAGCATTGGAAAAGATTTTTCTGAGTAACAACAAGAGGGGGAAATAAAAGGGAAACATGATACAAGAGAAACTGTTCCTTTTAAAACGTTGTTCTTTTGAAACTGCCAGCTCTGTAACTGCTTCATAGCTTTGTAATTACTTTCCTGACCCCTGTAACCAGGACGGTATAACTGAACATGGAGGATGCTGATTGTACATTGTACCAAGCTTCATAAACTGATGATCATTCATCTACCCTTGTAACTGGTGATTTCACCCTGCTAGCTAATCAGAAGAACTGCCAGGCTGTTCTGTGTCACCTTTGTACCTCCTTTGTACCTCCTGCTTATGCATCATGTAAAAAAGCCTCTAGACCATCAGAGATTGGGGCTTGATATTTGGGAAGTGATGCTGATCAGTGCCCGTCATTGTAAATAAATCTGCTCCAAAGCCTAGGTGTCATTTTGCTGTTTCTGCTTACCATTGCACCACCATGGCCAGCCACAAACAAGTCCTAATCCCCATTTTACCCTAGTCTGGATACAATGGTGAACTTAGGTTATTTTTAATAATTCTTTCTTAAATTCTGATTATTTTCATTGTAGATACCAGGAAAACAGAAGTTAAATTTCTTATATTTTTATTTTGCTCCTTCTTTTTCTTTAGATACCTGCAATATTCTTAGAAATGATTTAAGGATTGGACAATAATAGAGTTTTCCTTCATTTCTTATAGTTAGTTACACTCTGACCCCAAAGCAACAGGGGAGTTTTTACAGTAATTTTGGGTTTTCCAAACTTCTTTTAAACTCTAGACAGAATGATGAATATTGAAGCCAGTAAGTGTAAGAGCATGGCATAAACTGAGCATGTCTTGGTACTCACGTTGGGATCCCCGATCTGTGTTCACTGACTGAGAGCTATGTGTGTGCCAACATTTCCCAGGTGCTTCCTACACATTAGTCCCAGAGGAAGTGCAACTAAAGGAAGTTCTGTGGACAAATGTGACCAGGAAACTCACTGTCCAAAATCACTTCAGAATAGTGCAACATGTGCCAAGATCTTAAAGTCTCAAGAACTTAACCTGACTGCTTTTCACCTCATTATTTCTCAAATTCACATATTCGGGCCATCATTTTTAATACAATCTTGTTAACATAGTAAAGAAATCATCTTTGACTATTCAGTGTGGGACAAAATTCTCCAGGATTACTTGGAGTGTCCATGGAAATGTTTAAAATGTCCTGTGGGGAAAATAAGTAGTTCAATTAATAAATAGTCAGCGTTGTCAGTACAGAATCAATATATAGTCTTTTATGGATATTGCCCACTGAGACTTTCCTGGGAAAGGTAGGCTAAAAGCAATTGCATTCTGAAGGTCAACAGAATAGTTTTATCTCTCAGCAATTTACATGTGTTTTCACATTCATTTTCTTACCTATTTGAAACAGTCCGCTAAATCAGCGTTACGTGCTTTTTGATATGTGCTAGCACTTGAATGTCCATATTGTGTGTGTGTGCATGTATGTGCATATGTGCGTGCATGTGTGTGTGTCTGTGTGTGTGTGGAAACACTCCAAAACGTCAGAAAGGCCTTTCCTGAGTTGGGAGGTGTCTTACCTCCTTTCTCATCTCTGGGACACAACACCTGAAACCCACAGCTTCCAGGAGGAGGGTTTACTGTGGCTTATAATCTGTACAGGCTTCGGCCCAGAGTCTGCTCCAAGGAAGAGGAGCACGGCTAAGGAGAAGCAGCTTGTGCCATGACATCAGGAAGCAGAGAGAGAGGAGATCCAGGCCACCCCTAGGGGCCCGCCCCTTCTGGACAGCCTCACTTCCCAATACCGCATGCAGCTGTGAACGCGTCAGTGCACGAATGTGGGCACTGATCCAATGAGGAGCATCTCGCCCACTGTGATCCAGTTACCTCTCAAAGCCCCACGTAGGGCACAGGAGGCTTT